AGCTTAAGTGCATGTACAAGTGTAGTTGTTTTTGCCACAAATTAAGCCTTATCCTGGTGAAAACTTACTGTGAAATTTGCACCCATGCAGATGTTGAATAGCGCCCTCTTGTGTTTGAATAATCTGCTCATATGTTGACATGCACAAGTAGGAGGTCACTAATTGAACAGGTAATTATGTACTGTGTTTTGGACCATTAATCAGAAAGTTTAGGTGGAATCTGTTAAATATTCATGCAACTAATTTTATTGGAACTTGACTGTAATTTAGTTTCTGCAAAGTCTCTGTGAATTAGCTGCATTTGTGTATCTGGGAATTTAATGACATGTTTCTCGTATACAACCAAGTGGACTGTTAACAATTTTAATTCAGGTTAACAATCTATAATATTTTCAGTGGAAACATCAGGGTATAATTCTAGTGTGCTCTCACGGTTTGTAGTGTGGAACTGGGGGACGCAACCTCTCTACATGTTCACATTAATTTTATTGAATAATTATTTAATAAGTGTTTTTTTTATCTTTTCTTCCTTTATGGTGTTTCCCGAAATCTTCCGTCACCGCATGATTGCGTCCTACAAAATCTGCCAACTAAGAACCCAAATTGGAGGGAAATTAAAGGGACAGTTCAGAATTATACCGCCTCCTGACTCTCTTCCTTCCTCATTCCAGATCCATCAGCACCCCTGCTTCCTGTAGTAGTCCTAGCCCCATCACCATCATTTACTACCCGTCAACTGTTCTCGCCGTAGCTCACTTCCCCCCCCCCCTCCACCTCCCTCCACCCCCCCCCCCCCACATTAACAAAAGAAGAACACTTTTTACGAATATTGGTGGGGGTGGTGAGCGCTGCTGAAAAAAAGGGAATTTGACTGGAAAGGAGCAGTCTTTACATATCCAGCTTTATATAAACCTCCTGCTAGCTACACCTATGCTAGCCGGTGGTCAACTCATGATAAACTCACTGCAAGAATAAAACTAGAGACGATACGCACTTGGAATCATCAAATTAAGCCATCTATACAGCTGCAACTGTATTTTTTTGAACATTGTTTTTTTGTCCGACCGACTACTGTAAAGGCAACAAAAATATAAGAAACCATTGAAATGAAGAACACCGTTATGAAAAGCGCATAAGACGGTCAGGCACACACACACACGCACCCAGGCTTACATAGGCATAGGAGCGGGGTACTTCCTTTGTTCTCGTGTACTAACATTTTGCAACGTCGAACACTTTTGTCAAAATGCTCTCAAAATGGGCTGAAATTCGGACTTAATATCCCTTTAAGGGATGTTAAGTCCGAATTTAAGCCCAGGAAATTAACTATGGTTAAAATAAGAGCATTTTGACATAAGTGTGCGACGTTGCAAAATTTTAGTACACGAGAACAAAGGAAGTACCCCACTTCTATGCCTATGTAAGTGGGTGTATTAGTGAGTTTGTCTTACATTCCCTATGTGGACTTGTGAACAAAAGATGTCCACATAATGCAGGTTGTGTTAACGTTATGTGGACTAAGCCGTGTCCAGATAACGTTTTGCCCTTTCTGGAAAACAGGTTTAGAGGCATTTTTGGGTTAGGTTTATCCGTAGCAGAATGAAGAGAAACACTATAGGGAATCATAGAAAAAAAAATTGGGTTAAAAGAGTTTTCACAGTTTAAGTAAAGTTATTTTGTGTACCGAGTTTTCTTAACTACACGAAAACAAAAGAATGTCCACACAAGGTATGTAACGTAAGCCTGGGTGTATGTGCGTGTGTGTGCTAAATAAGTGATAAGAGCATGCACTCTCACTAGCCTGGCCGTCTGGGATCAGCACAGATTTTAGTCCTGGAGATACACGAGTCCATGACACACCTTAACGAAATCACTGAAAGTAATACATTGTATAGAGACAACAGAACACTGCACGCTTACACAGGTGCTCTCTTACACTCTCAATATCTTAAGTGCTTTATAAATGAGAAAAGATATGCCGAACTTTCTTGATCATGTCTCTTTCTGCCTATTCATTTAATTTAAATAGGCTTGAAGGTATTGGCCACTTTTTGCCCCCAAAAAATGATTTTGCTGTTTAAAAAAAAAAAATCAGTAATGCAATAAATGTGAGGCATGTTATTAATAAAAAAGAAGTCGAAATTATAGATGTTATAACTGTGATAATGCATCTTCAAATTCTCAATCACATAAAGCATGCTTTTGTTGACAGGTTGAAGGTTTGGTCCCAGGAAATGATGGTCAATTCCTCTTGCATGGAAACGAAGCATACTAGGCACAGTAATTTCACCGGCTGCTTAATCATATTATTTACTTCCGATCAAGTATGATTTGTCACGATATTTGAAAATTTCATTTTTGAATGTTTTCGAAATGATGTCATTACCTATAACCACTTAACAATTTAAGGCAAAAAAAAGGGAACAGGCGCAGATCCAGAGGGGGGGGGGGGGGGGTAAATTCCCCCCCCCCAGCTCTGTCATTTTTTTATTTTTTTTTCATAAAAATTCCAAAAAAATAAGTCGACCCCCCCCCCCCCCCCCCCCCGCTGTGTCACCCCAAACAATTATACTGGTATAATGTTTGCCTGTTCAAAATACGGTACTAGTGTTAATAATTGTCGGATCTGAACAGCGCCCGCTATTGAAATACGGTACCAGCCTCCCCCCCCCCCCTTGGGCGGTTTCTACTTCGCCCAGCTGCAGCTGTAGATCATATCAGTGAGCTGAGCTGTTACGTTGCGTACGCGTGAGTGAAATAAATAGCGCCCTCAATATTTCATAATTGACAAGCAAGCATTGCGGCTTCTAGCGGTGTTGTTCCAAGGTGGGGAGTTTTGCATAACGATATTACAATTCAACTGCAGCAAGTAAAAGGTCTCCTGTTTGTAAAATCTGTGGATCCACTGTCCAGTGGCGCAGCCAGGAATTTTGCAGTGGGGGGGGGGGGGGGGGGGGCTGGGGGGGCTGGAAAATTTCATGTGGGGCGTCATGTAGATCACTGATAATTTTGTTAGAAACTCAAAATCTCAGTGGGAGGGGTTGCAAGGGGGGGCGGGCTGTCTCCCCCACGCCCCCCCCCCCCCCCCGTGGATACGCCACTGGTGGCACTGATGGCCCAAACACAACGAGCAATTTCGTGCGGCACCTTAAAACCCACGATGAGCGGTGAGTAGTCGCGCTGTGACTTTTTTTTCGGGGGGGGGGGTCTTAACCGCGAATAGATTTTCGGTCATTCTGGGCTGCGTACAAACTCTTGCTTCATATGGCTAATGAATCTAAATAACTTCTAGCCTCTAGTACTTGAAGGAATTGTTCAGTGGGGGGGTGTCCGCTGGGGGGGGGGGGGCTACAACATTGTAATGGGGGGGCGTCATGTAGATCAATGATATTTGTTTTAGAAACTCAAAATCTCAGTGGGGGGGGGGGGCGACGGGGGGAGGGGCGACAAGGTTTCATGGGGGGCTGCCCCCCCCCCCCCCCCATGACTACGCCACTGCCTAGACCGAATGTAAATTTTCCCTAATTCCAGATCGGGCATGTCTGCATGTAAAGCTCCATGGTAACAATACAAATGTATAATTTTAAAAAGAGGAACCTTTCATAAAAAAAGCAGGCCTTTGTTATTTGCTTGTAAAATACCGGATAGCCTAACCCATTGCTAGGCGTTTAGTATACACGAAAATTGAACAATAAAGTGTTAATATACTACATGTAATCGAATGAGTGAAGTCTTTTTTTCATGTCATCTCAACATTTATTTCTACAATGTAAAGTAAATTTATTGAAGTATACAAAGGGCTAATATCCGACAGATATGTGATAAACTACAAGAATAGTAATTGCAACACATTGAAAAAGGGGAATTAAGGAGGCATGTTCAAAATAACTCGTAAGTTGACGCCAGGTTCTTTTAGCTTATTACAGCTGGACAAAATAATGTGCAACTTGACGTGTTCTTGGACAAAGAAACTTGTGACTTGACTTGTTTTTAGACCAAATGACTTGTGACTTGACTTGTGACTGGACCTAATGACTTGTGACTTGACTTGTGACTTGACCTAATGACTTGTGACTTGACTTGTGACTGGACATAATGACTTGTGACTTGACTTGTGACTGGACCTAATGACTTGTGACTTGACTTGTGACTGGACCTAATAACTTGTGACGTGACTTGGACTTGCAAACAATGACTTGTGACTTGACTTGGACTTGCAAAAAATGACTTGCTGCCACCCCTGAAGTTCAGGTGCACTTTCATCTGGAGATTGTCAAAACGTAGTGCTTTTTGGGTACACGAAAATCCCCTAAAATGCCTGACATTTCCAGAGAAAATGTTAAAAACGCCCGTTATATGTGGCGCGTCAACTATTTTTTTCCCCTAGCCTTTAACTATCTTTAGCAATGAAAAAAAAAAACACATTAAATTTCAACCCAGTTTTCAAGATATAGTTGTGTGCACGTTTATATTCCACTTGCCATCATTTGTTTCCTATGATTATTTTTTTTCGTGAGAAATGCGTTTTTAGAGCTCAAAAGAGTATTGTAATAATATTGTAAAGAGTAATCATAGTCTAGCTGGTCTTCCAAAAATTCCTTTTTACCATTATTTTACTACATGCAAAAATGATATTACGGTATGTAAATACATGCCGTTGTATTTTCACTGATTGTGCCACTAACAATCTAAATAAATTTGAACCAAAAAATAGAAAAAGGTAAATATTAATTTTAACCATGAGCTTGTTTTTTTTCCAACTTATTTTTCCCGGCATCACTGTAGCATGAGAAACTCCGCCTTTAATGCTAATAGGATATTTGACAGTTCAAACTGTGGAAAAGTTTGTGTCATTAATTGTTGTCTACTATTAGATAGGTTCCGGGTCCTTCCATCGTATCCCTCACTCAGAATGTAGGAGGCGGAAACACGTCTGAACGGTGCGCTCTGGAAAAGCACATGAAGTGCAAATGCCTTTTTTTGGGGGGGGGGGGGGGTTGCATGTTTAAAGGTGCAGCGGAACATTTTCCCCATCGTTTGAGCAAGAAAATAACTCTAACTCTTATGAATGGTGCATGACAACTAACTTGTTGAAGTTTCAACTCAGGGGATACTATACATTTTGGGAGAGAGAGAAAAAAGAGAAATACACATTTTTATTGCCCACTTTCAATTATTTTTTTTTCATTCCGAATGATACCATTTCAGGCAGAGAATTTGTTACCAGTCCTTCATTTTGAGTGAGGATTTCTTGTTTTTTTTGTGCGTTTCGTGTATCTGCAAAATGTTCCTATGTGCCTCTGTGTTTTGACTGAAGCATTCTGAAAATGTTACGCCACATATCTATGACACATGCATCCCCGCATGTCAAATGTCTGTCAAATGTCCAGCAAGCACTAGAGCTAGGTTTTCCCAAGCTATACGGCGGAATTACTCATGACTTTTGCAGCCGAGGACCTCTAAGCGCATGCTGCAGTGTGCGCTCCACTCAGTAGGCAGGATACGCAGGAACCTGGTCTGTAAGGCCTTCGGGAAAGTGGTGGTCACAGGATTGCTTCTGTCCGAGTTTCCAGGGAACTGTTGAATACACAATATGGATGGGATTTACAAATTAGCCCTGAAAGTTGGGAGGTTTTCAATTGTTTAACCGACGTTTTGTCTGCAGCATCTTCTGTAGGAATTTGTTTATATTAAATAGCTGAGATAGCCTAAGGACGTTTTTTGTTTAACTTTCCTTGCTGTTTTTCTGTTGGTGTTGGGTCGGCCCCTGACATCAGGTAACCCGACAAACATGTTTTGTTTTGTTTTATACAGCAGCGATTAAGAATATGACACACCTAATCTCGTCCCCAAGGCTTACTTCAATGTTCAACCTCGTTTCAAATGAGAGAGCAGGTGGAGGTAGTGGTAGCGTACTGCTTTAAATCATGATACCGGGGTTTGGGCTCGCCCCCGATGACCAACTGTTAATTTGACCTCAATGTTTGATAAATGGCCGTGTATTTTATGCTTTTTTGTGCAAATCTGGGTGTGGGTACAGTTTGGCTTATTGAAGCAGAATGACAACATTACCTCGATCTAAAACATAAAAGATTGTGAAAATACATATATTTAAAATTGTAGCAACATAAATATTGATATATCATCGTCAGTAACCTTGGGCTCACATCTGATTAGGTTTGTACTCCATAAATATTGTCGTTCCACCGCCGTAATTCACTCATAAATATGACCATTGCGTTCTTTATTAACAACAGTGCAATTTGTTACTGACCTTTGTCGGTGCACTTTCTCCTTCCGCGGTGACGTCGGTCCATTGCTGGCCGTCGTTGCTATAGGCAACCTGGAACTCAGTCACCCATTGATTATAATTGTCAGGACGCCCCTGAGTGATGACACCAGTGATGATGACACGGCCACCGAAGTCGACTTGGATCCACGGATTGGGGTCACTAGATCCGGCATAAAGCCAGGCAGCACCTAGTAAGCAGATATAAGCATACAGTGACTCTTGCTATTAGCAAGTGTGCTACAAGCACTATACCGGGCAGCGGCCGTACTTGCAGAGTGAGATAATATTTCTAGGGGAAGAAACCCCCCTCACCCCCGGAAAAATATATGTATTAGTGCTTCTTCAACTTTTCACTTTTTTGGTCACCTTTGACGCACATCCTACCATTTCGTTTAAGTTGTCTTAATTACGGTTCGTTCCATGTGATGTTTCGTGAATGAAAATAAAATCAACAATTTACCTTCTAAGTTAAGACGACCCCTGTAGGGCGCCCAGGCTGCACTGTTGCTCCAGAACGTCGAAGCTGTGATGTTTGCATCTGGGATGCGTCCATCTTCCATACCAAGGGGTCCAGCCTCAGAGCACTCCAAATCTGTTGGATATTTTGCTGTAAATAAGTTCATTCAGGGTCGGACGGGGGTATTTAATACTCGCATCAGCCTTTTCCTACTTGAACCGTTTTATGGACTTTACAGCCGGGCAGATTCCGCACTCTGCTAATCGAGGAAATGCGTTATGAAACTTGGCTTGTTTTATAGAACTTGTTTTGTACATCGACGCTAATAACTCAAGTGGGCAGATATGATCAGCGCGCGTCCTTCGGTGAATGAGTATAATGAGTACGTTTTTTTATACGATATATGGATATTGTTTTGGTAGCCCACCTCGAAAATTGTGACATTTGGTGCCAATTTTCAGAAACTTGGTGTCTAAAAGCTCAAGTTCGATCGACACAAAAAAATGGACAAAATGAAAAGCTGTCTTCGCCCGACAAAAATATACAGAAACGTCGCACCTACCTTTCTTACAGGGGACATGGACAAACACTTTGACCGCATCAAGTTGGTCTCGAAAAACGTCCAGTTGGCTATACAACGGACGGAGAGCTGCTTCGAGAACCGAGTCGGAATCACCATGAGCATGTTCGTGTGCGGCTGCTGCAAACAGGCAGCACTGGGCCACCACGGCAAAGATAGCTACCAGAGGGTACTTCATCTTGATCATCAGAGACACAAAATGATCTTGAATCAGTTCTAAAATCGCACTTATATAGATTTACAACTGACCTAGAATCCTTGACACCAAGATGCGCACAAGATGCTCTGACCCTGCGCAGCACACAAATGTCGCAGGACCGTGACAACGTACGTGGGTCAATCAGTTTCCTCCGGTTTCCAGGGTCCACGTTTTTGTTTCGTCCAAAATATTGTTCCCCTATGTAGCAAACAAGTGTTCACGCTTCTTGCTATTTCCGATGAGTGTTGCACACCATTGTATTGATAAGTCTGGCTGTGAACGTTTCAATCAGTTTAGGCGGGCATAGCCTACCACTCGCTCAGCGTAAATGTAAGGGGTACACAACGTTTAAAGTGTCCATGAAATATATTTTTAAGGCAGTTCTTGAAAATGCGCCTTTATGACCTATCTAACGTTAATTTCAATTTTCATTTTGCCGTTTTCAAGGGTATTTTGGTCCCTTTTTATTTATTTTTTTAATGCAAATTCCCATATTCTTGAGAAAAAAAGTGTGATTCTTCTATCAGGCAGAAACCTCAGTGTTGCAATTGGTTTGTGCATAAAAAGTTGCCAGAATTTTGGATATTTCGCTGACGTAAACTTTATTTTCTTTAGAGATTCGTTGATGTGTCAGTTCATGGCAGTAAGCCAGTGAGCAAAACTTCCTCACAAATGTTTTCAATGAGCAAATTTTGGGTTCACAGTTTCAATAGAAAAACATAGAACAGTGTCTTGCTGAAGTGACTCACGGCAACTGCGCCCCCGGTTGTCTGGAAAAGGATGGATTTTTTTTTAAGTTGAAAGAAGTGCACTTTTCGGGATGTCAGTTACTCTGCATACACTTACGAGGATTAGAAAATAGCACAAAATAAGTTCCTAGGAAATATTTACATCACGAGCCCTTTAATAAACCGCAGCCTGTTTGTTTGTTTTTGTGATTTCAGACAAAGACGGCTCTAGATTTCATATGCAATATACCAACGCAATTGGCTGATTAAACGTAGCGTCCATCATTTGTAATTATGTATGAGGCAAAAAAGATTTCAAAATCTAAACAGTTGACGTTAATGATTTTGTGCCTATTGGCGTGCAGTAGAACAATTGGCCTCCTGTTCTTCTCAAAGTCACGATTTTACAAAGATGAAATATCATCGCTTGTTTTTACTTCCAGATTCAATGGGTCGCACAGGGTTTATACAAGCGACATAAACTTCTGGATTTACTGGGTCGAACAAATATTGTAAGTTGTATCTGGGTTCAGGTTTGTCGGAGCTGCTCCAAAAGGATGTTGTTTTGATCTTCCAACTAGAACAATGGACCATTAGGAAGCAGGGTTTCCAATTTATTATCCAGGGCAAGTGTCAAGGCTTGAACAACATTTTTTGGTAAAAGTTGGTTGACACGTTCATAATCCTTTTGGAATATGCTAGAACCCCACACTTTCCACTGTATGTCATGTCAAACTTCCACAAGATATTTCAACAAGTTTAGGACATGAACGTCTCCAGGATTTTTTTCGAGAGGGGGAAAAGCACATTATTTCCAAAATCCGTATACTTTCTCTAGCTGATTGTATCATTTTTTTTCGACGGGTTGGGCGGGGGAACATTTGCCCCCCCCCCCCCCTCTACCCTCATTAAAACCCCTGTGGCCGGCCATGTTGTTTAAAGTGCATCAAATTAACAGCAATGACTTTGCACCTCTTTTGTTGTCTTTTTTTGCTCTCCCTTTTTGTGTGCTTTTTCTGGAAGGGGAGCACCCATCGTTGCCCCCCTCCCCTCCCCCTCGCAACACCCATGTACGTGTCTATGATGAAAAAACGAACAAGCGATAAAATACACGTCTTAAACCAGAAGACTTTTGTCACTGTTGAAGCAAATCCCTTTATCACCTATACGTTTCACTCCCATAGGGCGTGCGGGATTTATGAGCTGAGAGTAGGTGAAACGGGAACCTGGCAGCAATATTTTTTTCCACACCACATATTCGCAATGGGCGTATATTGAAGCACTTTGAGAAGTACAGCCCAATGTAGTTTTTACTGTTTATTTTTACGGGTGTTATTTAAATACAAAATAATGTACTTTACATCAATGTTCTGTATTAAACAAGCCCTGGAAATAGTATAGAGAAATTCGTTTCGAGGGAAAGCTACGAAGTAGTCATTTCTCCCCCCCCCCCCCTTCCCGTAAACAAGTTGCTATTAGCAACTTGCTAAGATTGCTAGACAATCAAGGTTTTCAGAGCTAGGGAATGCAACATAAAAAATCATGTGGCAATCTTTTACACACTTTAGATTCCCTTCTCCTAGAATTTTTGTGTCAAAAAAACAGACCTTTACTCACTGATTGTGTCTGTACACATGCAACACTGTTGATTCCTTATCCAGAACAAACCAATTACGACATTGCACCAATTCAGATTGTCAGGGCCGCGTTTTGGCGCTGTGACTGCAAACATTTTTTGCTGGTTCGGGTCCGTTTGGGCGTTTCGGTTACACCGAAAAAATGACGTCATTGCTCCGATCAATGTTGAACCGAGACTTGCGATCGGTTCATTTTACGTTTCAACTAAGATGGCGGAAAGGGGCGGTCCAAAAAGTGCGTACCCACGAAGGGGGCGTTTTTTTTTATAATTTCCAAAACAACTTCTACAACCCAAAGCTATAACGCGCGAGCTTATATAGGGCGCGTAGTCTTCAAAATACGCGCGCAGTATGCTCTGAATAGCTGGTCAGCCAGCCTCGACTCCATGGGCGCGTGCGCGTTCCTTACACTAACCCCTGGCCTTGATGATTACGTAAATGACGCTGATTGGCTATTCACAGCGTACTGCGCGCGCATTCGAAGATTGCACGCCGGGCGCGCCAATAATAATGTGCTCGCGTGCTTTGCACGTTAACGTCTCGCGTCACGTACGAACAAAAAATTGTTATTCAAAAGTCGCGATGCCTGTACTGTACGATAGGGATTATGGCAGCCTCGTTTTTCGCTACAGAAACCCCCTGCATCTTTGGTTGTAAAGGGACGAAAGGGGTACGTACATTTAATATAAATCTTTGCTAAATAACGCAACGTCCAAACGTTATGTTTAAAAAGATTGATTCTTCAAAATCACAACTTTTAACATTTTAAAGATGGCGTCGGCACGTAAAACGGATAAAGTGCAGCCTAATTATTATGTGCCATATTTTGACACATTTAAATTACACAATTTCAGTGGTTAAGATTGCGCAAGGCATGATGGAAAACAACATGGCGCAGCAAGATCATACCCATGGGGAACGATGTTGCCGGTCAGCATCGCCCAACCTCGTCCCCAGTGCTTACTTTATTTCCAACGTTGTTTCCAATAGTAAACCCTGGATAGGAAACTTCCTTCCTGCATCCTGATTCGATACCGCAATTGGCAAAATAAATTGATTTATATCGTGTACTTGGTGTTGTTATTCACCGTCGTGCAGTACGTGTTTTCGCGATCATTCGTCCACGCCTTCTCGAAAATGCCTATTCATTTCCTTTCCAGTGTGTTAATATTAATATGAAATGTGATACTGCATGTTGTCTCGTTAAGATCGTAACAGTTTATTTAAAATGAAATCATGTTTTCGTAACTCACGCCATGCTCGCGCTGCGACGAATTGATTCTGTTTTTACCCCAGACACCGCATACAAAAACAAACGCAAATATAACGCACAGGCAGGCACCACCCTACTCTTAATTTGCATACGTGTTCAAAAATTTTGCACATGCAAATGATCCAATACCAGGGTGAGAGAGCAGGTAGTGGTGGGCGCGTACTGCTCGACACCCTGGGGACGAGGTTGAGCATCGCCGTTTACGTATACCCCACGGCCAGGGGTTAATGGAGGAACGCGAACGCGCTCATGGAGACGAGGCTGGTAGCAATGGCAGCGACGCATCGCGATCGCCCTCGTGTGGTATAGTTATGTTGGGGAAACAGTCCCCTCTATTTCTAATTTGTGCAAACGATGTGGCAAGCAAATTGTAAAATATCAATTAACATGTTCCAAACCGCTTATAACTGATAAATAAAGTTGCCACTAAAACGTTAAGACGAAATTGCATGTTACAGGCTTTGGCCCACGGCCTACAAGCAGCACTGGGCCACCACGGCAAAAATAGCTGCCAAAAGGCACTTCATCTTCATCAGCAGAGATGCAAAAATGTTCTCGATTCAATTCAAGAATCGCATTTATATAGGTTTGCAACTGAACTAGAATCCTTGAGCCCAAGATGCGCGCAAAGGGTATTGCTCACGTATATAGGGTCAGCTTCCTCCATGTCCAAGGTCCACTTCATTGTTGATTTACCCAAACAAGGTTATTATACTGTTCTGGTGATAAAAATGCTCACAAACATTGTAAACCTTTGACTGTCAGAAACCGCTTCAATTTGGCTCAGTTACTGGGCTACGAATAATTGACTTTTTTCGCGACCCAAGCTTTTTTGACATTTTAGCCTCGAGCCTTGCGCATCTTTTGTTATCAAAAACATAAAAATCGGACCACGGGTTGCTACGCGCCATGAAAACTGAATTTTCCCCAATACGTCGTGTACACAGAGCAGAATTACCATTTGTACATATGAATAATTAATTAGCCATAATCCAAAAACCCTTTGACTTATAGTCATAAAGTTTCTTGGGTATGTTTATGATGGGTTCCTCTATGCATGTACCGAGTTTCAAAATGTTTCGTCACTCGATGGCCGACATCTGTGGGGGGGGGGGGGGGGGGGCGGAATCCCCCCCCCCCACCCCGGCTGAGAGATGGTGAAAATAACCAGGCCCTTTTAGGGTTAAGAGGTACCAACGTTAAAGCAAAATGAATAAACTGCAGCCAGTTTTGTTGTAACCAATATACAGAGCTTTTTCCCGCTTCGATGCCGTCCATGGCCGTTATTTACTAGCTTAATACAGCAAAGTGCGTTATTATGACCCTTTCATTTTTAACAGTAGCTATCTTTCGACGCGCTTTAATAAATCACTAGTATATTGTATTGCTGCCCAAGAGCTGACGAGAAAGGTGCATACGTTT